TTTTTCTATGAGTGTTGAATAATATGCATAATATACATCCATTTTCTATTGATCAATGTGAATGATTACTCATACAGTGAGTTTTTTTTCATTACTCAATTGTTTTCAACCAATGAAAACAGTGGCGGCTCGTGACTATTTCAAGTGAGGAGGCTAAAAGATTTTAAAGACTTTCAGTGATTATGATTTATGAATTTTGAGACAATTGCGAGAGATTTTTGGGTTTACGGAAAGATTTCTGAAAGATTCCGAAGGGATTTCGCAGTAATTTCGTGGATTTCGGACGAATTTGTGATAGGATTTCGGGAAGTGATTAACCTCTCGAAAATTTCATCAAAGTTTTTAGGAATTTCATCAAAATTTTAAGTTATTCCATGGGAATTCCGCGGAAATTTTAAGTAATTCCATAGAAATAAATACCTTAATATTTCATTAGAAGATTTTATGGAATTCTTGGACAACATTTTTTTCGGAATTACAGTATAGGATTTCATGAAATTCCTCGGAATTCAATTTCAAAATTCCATATTTTTTTTTTAATCTTAACTAAAATTCCTCAAAATTTTACCACTGAAATATCTTGGAATTCCACAAAATTTTCATAAAATTCTACGGAATTTCATTGACATTTCATGTAATTTCTTAAAAATGTCTCGGAATTCACTAAAATTTTATGAGAATATCCACGTTCATAACCGAAAATTTCTCGAAAGTCCAATGAAACTTCAAGTAATTTTCAAAATTTAGTTTATTTTCATAATAATTTTTCGGAATTTCACTGAAATTCTCTTTTAATAGCCAGGAATTTCAGGGAATATTAATGAAGTTTCAAGTGATTTCTTAAAAATTCATCTAAATATAAAAATTTCATGTCATTACATGGTAATTTTTCGGAATATCACCGAAATTCCATGTTTTTAGCTGGAAATTCCTCGGCATTACTAAAATTTAGTAAAAACTGAAATTTCATGTTGGGAATTTAGGTGTAATTGTTTAAAATTCCTCCATGTAATTCATTTAGGAATTCATGTAATTCGATCGGAATTTCACTGAAATTTCAAGTAATTCGAGAGGAATTAAAATTTAATGTGAATTCTATGGAAAATTTCACATGTAATTTCTTTTTCAGAATAACATAATTATTCTACCGAAATTCCTCGAAATTCCACTAACTTATGGAATTCTGAGATTTTAACAGATTTTTGGGAATTCCAAAGGATATTTGGGAATTTTAAAGGAAATATTTTTTAAAAATGTCAATGATTGGGTTTAAAATAACCGATAAATCGAGATTTGATAAAAACATATGGCAACGCTGCTCATGATACAACATACGTCAAAAAATTAAAATATCAAAGTAGGCCTTGGTTTTTTTGACAGTCGATATAAAATGGCGTCTTATGGTTCAAAGATTACGATCCGAAGGGCCGAAGTATTAAAATCGGTTAACAATGAACGGATTCCTATAATTCCGGCCCTTCGCGCTCGTATAGCCTCGGACCTTCGGGCTCATGATTAAAATAACTCCGGCCTGTCGGGCTCGTATAACTCCGGCCCTTCGGATTCGCATGATTCCGGCCCTTCGGACTCATATAACCTTGGCCCTTTGAGCTCATAATTGAGATAACCTCAGCCTTCCAGAATCGAGATTCGAAAAAAAACATATGGCAACACTGCTTATAATACAACAAAAGTCAAAAAATTAGCACTGTTTGGCTACTTTCTACGTATTCTTCGAGGCTAAATCTATATATCCATGTGGGTTTTTTTTTTTAAATTTTGACAATAATTGTCATTGTCAAAAATTTTTACCTTTTCTTTTTTTCAAAAAACAAATGTCAGAAAACGATCCCCAGGCTCCGAAAACCCTAAAATAAGAAGTTTCATCGATATATGTCAGAAACCAACCGCCTGGCAACGCCGAACGTCTTTTTTGACATATGTTAAAAAAAAAATTGGTATTTCTTATGTATTCGCAGAGGCTAAATCTATATGCCCATGTAGGTTTTTTAAAATTTTGACAGCTGCCAATTTCAAAAAAAAATTTCTTTTGTTTTTTCCGAAAAACAAAGGACGTTTTTTAGTGGGTGAGATTTATGTAACAACATGTAGCAAAAGCTACAAAAAATTCAATTTCCCGTCGAGTTTGGAATTCGAATTTTTTGAATTTTCCCGGCTCCTGATTGGTTTGGGGATTTGAATTTTGATTATTCCCGGCTTTTGATTGGCTTTAAATTTTGAATATTCCCGGCTCTTGATTGGCTTTAAAATAACCTATAATCTCGGCCCTTCGAGCTCGAGATTTGAAAAAAAAAAGCATATGGCTCATGATACAACAAACGTCAAAAAATTGAAATTTCACACTGTGGGTTTTTTTGACAATCGATACAAAATGACGTCTTTTTGTTTCAAAGATTACGGCCCGAAGGGCCGGAGTATAAAAATCAGTTAACAATGAACGGGTTCCTTCGGATAAAACTTTTGTCGCACCACACTTTGGAAATATCGACAGATGTCACCTGTCAAATTTGACACATGTTCGACTTTTTCTCCGCTCTACTATAAAAGCTACAAAAGTCAAACCCCGGTACAAGGCAGTTTCACGACGCCAACTATCGATTTGTGTCAAAATAATTTGACAGCTGTCAACGTCAAAAAAGTTTTGTAAATTTCGAGAAAAAAAGTAATAGAAAACGATCCCCGGACCCCAAAAACCTTAAATAAAAATTCCAAAAAAAACAACGAAAATGACATTCCAAAACCTACTTGATAAAACTAAAGTTTTTCTCACTTACCCCGTTAAAACACTGGAAATTTTTGGTGGAAAATGAAGAAAACTCAAAGCCTCGTACTTTAAATCAGTTTTCCCGGAAAAGTGGAAATTCGAAGAAAAACTGAATAAAAATGTAAACACGTCAATTGAAAATGGCCGACTGTCAAAAATGCTTCAAAAGCATTTTAAATGGGATTTTGCTAATTATGGTATTTAAAACTAGAAATTTTTTCTAAAAAATGAAGAAAATTCAAGCCTCGTATGTTAAATTGCTTTTTTCCATTAAAAAACTCCGGAAAAGTCGAAAATTCGAGAAAAAACTGACAAAAAATCACAAGGCGTAACTTCAAAATGGCCAACTAAAAGCAACGTTGCCACATCACATCTCGGAAAACAAAAATAACATTTTAAAAGAGTTTTTTGTTTAAAATTCAATTTAATAATAATATAATAATTAGAATTTTCTAAATAAATCATAGGAAACTTGTTTTTAGTTTAATTTCAATGAAAATGACATTACAAGGTTTCCTTATAATCCTTATTGATTATAGTGAGTAAGACAAAGACAACGATAAAGTAGTATATGTTTGCAAAAACCACTGTTTTCTGAAAAAAGTAAAAATCCTGAGAAAACCAACATTCCAAAGTCAATTTGATAAAACTAAAGTTTTTGAATATTCCCGACTCTTTGATCGGACGCTAAAAATCGCATTTTAAATACTCCCGGTTTTTAATTGGCTCTAAATTATCCGCTGACCAATAGAATTATAGACTGAGCCCCGTGATTAAAATAACTGTAGCCCGTCGAGCTCGCGTATAACTCTGGCCCTTCGGTCTCGCGTATAACTCTAGCCCTTCGGGCTCGTATTACTTCGGCCCTTCGGGCTTGCATATGACTCCGGCCCTTCGGGCCGGTATTACTGAGTATCCCAGATTCACAGATTTTTGTCGTGGAGGCGCGGGATTGATTGAAATAATGTTGTCACATTTTTCTAAATTACATTGAAATATCGAAATTTGGAAAGTGTAATTTATGAATTATTATTTTAATTAGAAATCTCTCTGACGAGCCGCCACTGAATGAAAATATCCTGGTCTCATTACTCCACTATTTAAGAGCCAATCAGAAAATTCGAAAAGTTGACAACATACTTCCACCTTCCGATCGGTCATTTTGACAGCTGATTTAAACAAGACTTGTGCTGACCTAATCTCACTTTGTCTTCCACCTGTCAGAATTGTCAATTAATTTCGTCATAAGAATTGAATAAAAAACCGCATAATTTGTACCTATTATCTATTATTTATAGAAAAAGTATAGTATTCTACTCGTGAGTAATGGCTATTACTCACTCGGATGATTACACTACTCGTCTGCGGCTCGTAATGTAAACTTCATCCTTCATGAGTAATAGCCATCATTACCCGCTTGTTGAATAATATATTATTTTTCTATTAGAGATAAAAAGTTGAAATTTTCTGCGATTCTTATCCCAGTGGCGGATTACAATCCCTGAAAATTTCAGCTCATTTGAACTTATAGTTCCAGAAATAAAATCGTGTTAAGCAATTTCGGGTGATTTAGTGCCTTTTTTCATAGAATCCGGCTCCAAATCTCAGAATAATTTAGTGTATGGAGTTCGAGGGATCCCAAAGAACCATTAGGACACAAAATTTCAACAAAAAAAAAATTGAAATTTCATCGTTTTAGTAGTAAAGGAGCCTGCCTGCATTATTAGAGAACGATTCTATATTATATACATGCAAGATTTACAGAAAATTCTTACATAAGCAGATCCCATGTATTGTTAGATCTTCCAATACAGATACAAAATAGACAATACGATGTAACACAATAGCTGAAATAATTAGGATATTATCAAAATAGGTCGTACCTAGTTGTATGCAATACCGCTTCTGTAACTGTTTTCATTATCTACTCAGTTGAATCGTATTTGAAATTCAATCGGGCTGTTTTAGATGCACCTAATGAACGGAACAATGTTACGATTATCATCAAATCAGCTATAGAAAACCAATTTCCGATACCATCCAGTAGTGGCATTTCGCAAAATCCGAATTCATTATCATAAATCTGAAATCGGCATAAATCAATTCGTATATACGTCCTCATTATACATCTGCCATCAACCTTGCATGGCGGCTTTGAAAGGTCGTCCAGCCTAGAGCGTCCGGTAAAAAGTCTTTTTCGTCGCTTTTCCCTGCTGTCGCTGTCGTATTCTATAGCTAGAGCACCGGTTCGCGGTCCGCAGGAGACCTACACCAAGTCATTCAGTTCTCGGCAACGTGTTTGAAAGTATATTGCAAATAAACGCGAACGTGCGCTCACTGCTAGCAGCAGGTGTACGACGGAGCTGCTGCTACCTTTCTGGTGGAAATTGACTGTCATAATATACCCTGCTGGCGAAGGGCTTCTGGTGTTTTTTTCTTTTGGAGGGTTACTGGTGTTTTTGTGAAAATGTTTTGAGTGTATTGTCGGATTATATTTTGATTTTGAAGGTGAGTTTCATGTTTGGGAAATACTTAAATTTTTTTGTATTGATGAAGTTTTGATTCGTTGGAATGTGACTCCTGAGGATTTGCGGAAATGGGTACTCATTTTTTTTTGCCTTTTCTGAAATGATTATAAAATCAAATTCTCAATGATAACAATACTCAGATGTCTAAAACAGTTAAACGACATCAAATATTTATTGTAAAGCTCAGATTTCTCAGTAATTGTGATATTTGAAACGCAATTGAACTTCGTAAACTCAATGTAAATCTCTTATAGTCGTCTGAAAATATATGAAACAAACTGCTTAATGTATTTAAATATTCAAGAGATTGATTTAAAGTTGAATTTGATGACGAGAAAAAGGAATCAAAGAAGTATTATTGGAGAAGTAGAGGGGACAATGAGCAAAACCATTAAGAAGCTCAGGAAGAATGTGAAAAAATTGAAGATACAGAAGAAAATACAACCAAAATTAATTGAAAATTGGCCTTTGCATTGAAACCAGAATTGTTTCCTATTGTTCCGCTGGAATATTTGAGAATTGATGACAGACATGCCGCCAAAAAATAGATAAAAGTTGTTCAGGAATACCTATGTTGATTCACTCAAACAAAATCAAATCTGAATTTCCTTCAAACACAAATGCTATGTTGATGATTTGACAAAGGCTTTACTTAGTTGGAATTAGATTGGAAAATTCTGAAAGAAAGGAATTCCTTCGAGAAGAGTTGAGAACTAGTTTGATGAGTATAAAAATGAAAGAAAATGATGATCTGGGATGATTTCTAGTGAATCTTGAGGCAATTTTTGATTGTAGTTAAGAATCGCCGGAAAATTGAAAAATCGACGAATTCACCCTGTTTAACTCGATTTTATTTCTGAAATTACAGGTCCAAATGAGCCGAAATTCTCTTTTACCAGGATAAGAATCGCTGATTAAGCTGAAGTTATGGTTTTTCAAAATTTTCAAAAATCCAAACCTTAAGGTTTTCCCTTAGTAGGTACATACCTACTAAAATGATGAAATTTTAATTTTTTTCATGTTGAGATTTTGTGTTTTCGGGGATAATACCACGAGAGCTTCAAAATTACCGATAATTTTTCACGATTGCGTGTTTTCTATAATTTCACGAGTCCGTAGGACGAGTGAAATTTGCAGAGAAAACACGCATGAGTGAAAAATTATCTGGTTCATTTTAAAGCTCAAGTGGTATTTAGAGGATTATTTCACGTATGAGAATGCAAAAAATATGGAAATAAATATGTATTAAACGATTTGAACATCTTAACAATCAATACAAATAAATGGTTGCTATCAGGAACCGTTTGTTTGTATCAAAAAATAGCATGACAACCATGTATACAATAACATGGGAGAATTATCGCTGTAATTCTCTCTAGTTGGAATAATCATGATTATTTGCGAACTGCATAGTCCATGCACTAAATTATTCTAAGATTTGAAGCCGAAATCTATGAGAAAAGGCACACTCAGAAAAATTGAATTATTGATAAAGGACCCCACACACCTTTTATGGGATTTGGAACTTCCGCCAAATTTAACCAAACTCTAGTATGATATAAATTTGACCTTTTTGATCAATATTTAGCATTGGCTCAACTTGATCCTATGACTACTTTTTGAGATACAGGTAGTTTAATGTTTAAGAAATGTACACATTTTATATGCATTTACATCTACCTTTCATCTGAGCGTGTAGATACCTGACCATTAGGTGACAGGTAGATGTAAACGCATATAAAATGTGGACATTAAACTACCTGTATCTCAAAAAGTAGTAGGATTAAGTTGGGCCAATGCTAAGTATTGATCAGAAAAGTCAAATTTATAACTAGAATTTGGTTGAATTTGGCGGAAGTCCCAAATCCCATAAGAGGTGTGCGGGGTCCTTTACCCCAAATTGCTTAACACGATTTTATTTCTGGAATATTATATTCCTCCACTAGGATAAGATTTACTGAAAATTACAGCTCTCTACCTATGCCAGAAATGGAAATACGATATTCCAAAGCTTTCAGAAATCCAAATCAAATCAAATCAAATCATTTTATTTAACATGTCAAATTACACAAAGTGTTTACATGCGTCAAATTATCAATAATAATAGAAATATGCTCCCGACAACCACTAAATGGTATTGGGGATTCAAAAATTTAAAACTTAAAATCTAAAACATACAGCTGCACTACAATTGATACCCACTTTACAATTCCATCTCACAAGATCTACACAAGTTCAAGACAGATCAATAAATAAGAGAACAACAAGGTAAAAAACAAATATAAAAATAAATAAAATTAGTTAGGTATTGACTAGGGGTATAAATATTCTATTAAAAGTAGGTGTAAGAACGTTAACAAAAACCGAGACAAAAACAAAATATAAAATATAAATGAACAAAAACATAGATAGTAAAATACAAATATGTAAATATAAAAATTAAATAAAAGAACAAAAAATAAAAATATCACATTATTGGCCACCTGGTAATTTCCTTGCACAATTCCTTATTCCTTTTCCTTCCCCCAAACATCCGCCAGAAAATCATCTACTGAATAGTATGCCTTACCCAAGAGATATCTTTTTATTGTTAATTTGAACAGGCCCGGTGCGAGTATCTTAATTGTATTAGGCAGTTTATTTTGACTTCGTTTTAGTCTTTTATAGGCTGGGACTAATAGGCATTTATTACGAGTGTCATGGTCATGGGTTTCAACATTGGTTGTATAGTGTGAAACATTGTTTTTAAGGTGTATCAGATTTTCTAGGATATATAATGAGAGAAATGTCAAGATGTTGCTCTCTCTGAATGCCTGCCTACAGTCATCTCTATAGCCCAACCCTGCAACAATCCTCATTGCTTTTCTCTGTAGCCGAAACACTTGCATGGCACTACTAGAGTGTCCCCAAATCAGTATGGCATAGGACATGGTTGAATGAAAAATTGAGAAGTACGCAAGTCTTAACACATCCTTCGAGACACAGTTTGCAAGGTTTCTCAATATAAATAAATTTGTGTTGAGTCTTTTTGACAGACATTCAACATGTTTGTCTCAGACCAACTTCGTGTCGAGGGTTATACCCAACAAGTTTGCTGTTTGGTCAGGAACGTCTAGCTCTCTCAAGGAGAATGTTATTTCTTGGGTTTTTTGAGTGTTTAGGACTAGAGCATTTGCAGAGAACCATGTTTTCGCCCTCGACAGTGCCTCCCGCGACCCAGCCTCGGCCTCAATCGCACTAGGACCTGTGGCAAGGATGGTAGTATCATCCGCAAAGCGAAGACACCTTTCAGGGGACACCAGAGGCAGATCGTTAATATATATTAAAAACAATATTGGACCCCCTGTGGTACTCCCATACCAATGCCTCTCACCCCGGACTCCACCCCACCTACTCTCACCACTTGGGATCTTCCTTCAAGATAGGAACGCAGAAGATCTATGCTGCTCTTATGAAAGCCATAGTATGCAAGCTTACCAATTAACAAGTCGTGGGAGACACAGTCGAAGGCCTTACTTAAGTCACATAGCACAGCAGAGACATACCCATGATTTTCAAAAGCCTCGACAATCTCCTCAACCAGTTGAAGCACGCACAAGGTTGTGTTAAGATTCTTGCGGAACCCATACTGACCCGGATTAAATAAGCCATTTGCTTCCAAGTATGCAATTATTTTAAGCGCCATACACTTCTCAACAATTTTAGAAAATACAGGCAATAAGGATATGGGTCTAGTTTGATGGATCATTTGGTTCTCCTTTTTTGAATATTGGTATAACCACAGCCCTCTTCAAACAAGTGGGAAACGCAGACTCTTCAAAACAGTAATTTATCAGTTTTGTCAGGATGGGAACCAACTGGTTCTTACAGCTTTTTACCAAGTCAACATTTATACCATACATATCTTTACTCTTTTTATTTTTTAAGTTGGTAATTACTTCCCGTACCTCATTAAAGGAGACTTCAGAGAGAGTAAATCTATGCTGGGACAAACTATCTTTTAGTTTTCCTAAATTCACTAATGGGTTGAAATCTGTGGGCGCAATGCTTTCTTTTAGGTTTTCAGCAATGCTTACAAAGAAATTATTAAAGTCATTTGATGATATAGATGTGTTATTCTGGTTATTCTTCGGGGTTAGGCCCCTATAATCATTTATTATATTCCAACAACACTTTATTGGATTATCCGAATTCCGGATAAGTCGATCATTAGTGCAAATTTTTGACTCTCTTATAGCAGATTTATACTGATTTCTGTATGTGTTTCGTTGTAGTCTAAGTTGCTCTGTGGATTGGCGTCTATACAGATCATTCAACACAAGCAGGTGATTTCTCATATTTTTTAAGTTGCCATTGAACCAGCTTATATTGGTGTTCCTATTTGCACTGATAGTGAACAGTTTTTCTGGAAACGCTTCAATGTAAATGCCCTGCATAGACTCCACAAACATTTCAAACTTTCGCTCCACCCCAATACCATTTTCTTTTACATAGTCAAAACCTGTATCTAGTAGTTGCACAAGAATATGCATTCTCTCTGAGAAGACAAAAAATTAACATTGAAATCACCCACCAAGACCACCTTATTTTTAACACCAATCTGGCTTAAGGCCTGTTCTAAAATACCCAAAAAATTTTGGAAATTACCAGATGGCGATCTATAGACATTCAGTATATGTATCCTATAATCCAACAAAAAAGTACCACATATTTCAAGACATTTTTCCTGGCTTAAACTATTTATGTAATTTAGAGATTTATATTTAATGCCAGTTTTCAAAAAAGTTAGGACTCCACCACAGCTAAAAATGCTACGGCAAAAGTAAGACACCTTATTGTAATTTAAAATATTAAGTAATTTCATTTCATCATCTGAAAGCCAGTGTTCCGTTAAGCACACTATTTCTGGTAGGGATTGTCCAAGACATGCCTCCAGTTCATTTACCTTATTACGTACTGATTGCACATTCACATGGAATA